TCCTGTGCTGTTAAGGGAGAAAACCTGGCGGTTGAGCGTGATCCTTACCCGACCCCCCTTCTCCTGCATAACCGTTGGCCTTGTAACAGTACTTTCTAAGCACCAATTAACAAAATAATTGTAAATAGAAATGGAAAACATGCCCGGTGGGCGCGGTGGCCGAATGGGCTAACGCGTTGTGCACCACCGTAGCCCGGCAACCATTGATATATGACCTATGTCATAAAAAAAGTTACGAGTTCTCCTCTCGGTGCCAAGTCGTCTTTTAAATCTTAATAGTAAATTTAATATTTATACTTAGGTATGTTTATATATAAGATGTTTATTTTACTTCAAGAAGTACATTTTATCTTATTTTTATGTTCACTAACTTATATATATATATACACACACACATATGTATATATTTTTTTTCTTTTCACTCTTCTTATAATATTTTATTTCTATGTATTCTTTTGGTATTACTCCATTTATTTATGTTTCTGTATATACGGTGTGCCTGTACTCTGTGAACTCTATTATAAGTGTCGTTAACTGAGACATATTGTAAAATTTCTTCATAAAAAAAAGTTATATATTTATATACAAAAATATTAGAAGAGAAAAACAAACATCGATAGAGAAAGAGACATAATGTAAGAAAAGCTGCGTAGGCCCTCAAACTCCAGGGGTGTATTCAACATAACAAGGAAAATCTCATTGTCTGGTATTGTATCTACTGGTTTGCTTTTTCGTTGCATGTTCCTTGAGCGAAAAACTAAACACGAAAAAAACACATAATAATCAGATCACATTCTCTACAAAACGTAATTTAAATTTCCCATATTTTAACTATCAGCATTGAAATATATTTTAAATAAGAATTTTCCTAAATCGAAATGGAACTCCTACAGCAGTAATGAAGGTCTGTTAATTACCAGAAATATTTCAGATGAAATTCATGGAAATGAAAACGTCATTAATATCCTGAAACGAGTCTGTGAAATTTATCATCTTCCACTACATTTTAATTATAAATCATTGCCTAGCTCGTATTTTAAAATGAAGGGATGATATTTTGGTATTTAATTGAAAATTGAAAATTTTAATAAATTATAATTTGCACTTTTTATATCCATGCTTACTAACGCTAAAATAACTATTGACTTCTTAGTTAAACTACTTCATCACGTCCACGTTATTTTGTCGCTCTCTTTATTGGCGCGCTTTCGTCAAACTCGATGACATAATAGTGTTTTATAATCTTATAACGCATTAAATTATTTCGCAATGTTTTATTATTTCCAACAAATTATAACATCTAAAGCAACAGTACCTTCCCAGTAACATAAAGAAAAAGAATACGAGTGCATTGAGTGTATGTATACGAGTGTATTGAGTTATTGGGAAATCAAATTTAACCACTCCTCGTAACTTTTTTTACAGCTTCTTTTCGTTGAAGTATGTTATATATAAAAATTTAAAGGACATCGAGAAGAAGACTATAACCAAGGTTCATTGAAATCGGTACATTCGTTTCATCGCTACAGTCTATAGCAACACAGGTTTTTCTGCCACCATCTTGAAAGGAAAGGGCGAATAGTAATGTCGATCTAGGAGGATCATCCTCAGATGACCTCTAACTTTAAACCCATATTTGAAAAAAAAAATCAGTATGATAGTCTCAGAGAAAATGTTCGGACGGCGTCGGAGCAAAAAAAATTGTATTCGATTTTTGAATTCTCTGCACGTAAAACCTCATATTTTGAGGGGGTCATAAGTTTTTGGTCGATTACAATGGTTCGTTATTGAGATTAATAAAATTATCACACCGAGAATATAATTACTGCAGTTTAACTTTTTAACGAAATTATCAACAACACTCCGAATAATTAATCTATAATTATATATATTAAAGTAGATCCATTTCAGCTGATGGAAGCTTATGAGAGGATTATATCAGCTTCTCTAAGGAATAACGTACGAGTACATGAATATTAAATTCGGCTGATGGAGAAGATCATACATATTTGAGCATAGACATCGCTAAGGCAGAAGGAGTGGATCAAACGGAGAAATATGGGAAATGAGAATAGACTACTTTAATTAATTATTATTTCATAGATTTCTTGTAAGTATTGGCTTCTATTACCCCAAGCCATATGTTTCTGTTACATTTGTTTTTTTTTTGTTAGTTTTTTTTTTCAATTCCTTATAGAGAAATATTATAATCCGTCACAACTAAGAACAATAGTCATAGTGATATAGGAGTAGCTCATTCACACTCTTTGTACAATAAACACAAATCAATTAACAGCAAAATAATAATACTAAAAGTAAATAAATTAAAAGAAAGTAAGTAAACAAAAGAAACTAAACTACTTAAATATGAATATGCTTTTATACAATATTTACAAAATTCATTCACTCGAGATCTACGAGAAAAGCCTGTCCTCCCTCTCGTTGATAAAAAGGCAGGACTCTAGGAGATCCCAGGGCCTCTCACTCAGTCGCATAACTGGTATTAAGGAACGGTGGAGGCTAAGCAAGGTTGATATAACCAGACATACATGCCTTCAGTGGAGAATATGTATATTGCCAGATATATGATCACAACAGGTCTCTGGGCTACTATCGCTTTAACCTTCGAGGATGATTGTATGGATGGATTGAGCTAGATGTGGATTTAGATGATATCTAAGGTTTTGATGGAATTTTGAAAAATTTTCAAGAATATGGTCTAGGACAAATGGGATATTAAGGTCATGGTGTAGGGTTTTAATTTTTTTTTAAGAGGTTGACTTATTTGATTGATGTTGTCTCTATTCGTTGTTTTGTCCCTTTTTAGCTACCACTCAGGTCTATTTGGACTTCAAATAATTGTCATTTAAGTAAAATAATCCTTTATAAGTTTCTTACTTTGGTGGTTGATGTTAGGAGTTCTATTGAGATACTCATAGTGGATCACTATAGATATTCGCTATGGTGAATGCGAAATAGTGATATCCGATTCCATCGGATTTCGGCTGCAAGCAGATTTGTAAAATAGTATTTTTAAAAATATACTTGTTCACTTTTTCCCGCTTTCGCCAACGACACATCTGTATTATCTGTCAATAATAAAATTACTGTTGCACCTCTGCACCCACAAAATTTAAAACAAATTCTACCAAATCCCGTTATCCTTAGTCATAAACCTAGTAAAACCTGTCATAAAGTATCATTTAACAATATTTTACTTATTCCTGTCATGGCATCCTCATACGAGATTGAAACGACAAGAAACTACACGCGAATTCCGGTTATTACAACACATACTTGAAAAACATCTATTATACTATTAAAAACTCACATACGTTTTGGTACTCTAAAAATTCTTGGAATTCCTTCTGTTCTCAATATTTATAGTCGAAAACACCTCATATAATCTTTATTTCTCCTTATTATACCACAAATGAAATTAAGCATAAAGCCCTAAATGTTCGATTAGTTATATATTTGTCTCGAAATAGTTATACCTCTTTTAATTTCAAATTCTTAGGTCACGCGAATAGTTCATAACCTTTAATCCCAAACAATCCCTGAAATATCTCCGAAGCAATTGTAAAGAAAATGGTTAAGAGACCTCCTTAATTAAAATCATTATCGGAGTGTTACTAATTCATAGGGTACTTTTTTCACTAGCTAATACCATGTTTTTTATTCTTATAGCGGATTTGCGTATATTATTTGTAAAAGTGTATTACAATAATTAATCGTTATACCATATATTTATAAGCAAAGTCTTTTAGTTTGCAATAGGATGTAAAAAAAAAGTTTTGAGCTCATTATTGTTTGTTTTCCCTCTATTAGATTAGTTTAGGTTAGATAGGATGTGAACATAAAAGAGAGGTTCTTTCACGTTACTCCATCTATCAAAAATACTTAACCATTTCATTCAGAACATTTGAGTGGAAGTAAATATAGGAAGATCACTTTTAAAGTAAATAAACTGTTATATCAACAAAAAACCACTCGTTCCATTGTGTGCTCTGTAAATATTTGACTTTTCATAGTCATGCTAAGCTTTTTGGAGAGCTTTACGATACCATTTACGAGTGGAGGTTATAGTATGCTGCTCACCTATATTATACCTACTACTGAAGGCCGAAATATCTTCCGGAATGCAATTTTAAATAACGTTATATGACCAATTATAATGAAAAACACCACGAATAATTATTCATTTTTCAAACTCTCTACTGTCAAACCAAATTCTTTTGATCTGAAGTTTTTGACAAATTGAAGCTCCGTTATGGGAAACCATTTGTCCAACAAATTAAGCGGAGCGATACGCCTGTCCGATACCCTGAAGATAAAGTCATAGTGAATTATTGCTAGATTCTCCCGAATTCCAAATAAGTACTAGCGTAAATATTTGAGCTATTCTTCAATGATATAGCACTCCCAGGCTACATAGGATAGTTTATGTACAGGGCGAGATAGCAAATAGTTAAATATCATTAATATTTAAGCACATAGAAATTCATCACTAAATCGTTACTGAATTATATACTGGCAATGTTCGGGTTAGCTGGAATTTATGTAGTTAATAAAGAATTATTTTAGAAATTATTGATTTGTACTGGTGTTTAATGCCATTTATTTTAACTGAGGTTGTAAAATACTTGTAAGAACAGGCTAGAAAAAAAATAAGAAACAGTTGTCTGATAAATAAATAATAAAACGACATCAGAGATATAGTGGGTGATAATGTAGTTAAAATATCAAGTAATATATATACATATATATATATATATATATATATATATATATATATATATATATATATATATATATATATATATATTGTAATATTTTTATTTTTAAATTTATTTTATATCTCTGTCTGTCTGTCTGTTATTGCCGACGTTTGTCTTTTAAAATCTGAAATCTGTCCTTCTAGCCTTTAATATTTCTGTTAGTCAATTAACCTGGTATTCGTGTATCTATCTAAGTTTGTAATAATGGGGTGTATAAGCTTAGATAGGATGAGAAGGATAAGGTATATAAGGTAAGACCGCCAAGAATGATAGGGGGACAACCCCTACACATCCAGGGCTCTGCAACCGGGGAGGCAATCCCCTGACGTTGCGAGGATAGGATAAGACCGCCAAGAATGATAGGGGGACAACCCCTACACATCCAGGGCTCTGCAACCGAGGAGGCAATCCCCTGACGTTGCGAGGATAGGATAAGACCGCCAAGAATGATAGGGGGACAACCCCTACACATTCAGGGCTCAGCAACCGAGGAGGCAATCCCCTGACATTGCGAGGATAGGATAAGGTAAGACCGCCAAGAATGATAGGGGGACAACCCCTACACATCCAGGGCTCTGCAACCGAGGAGGCAATCCCCTGACGTTGCGAGGATAGGATAAGGTAAGACCGCCAAGAATGATAGGGGGACATTCCCTACACATCCAGGGCTCTGCAACCGAGGAGGCAATCCCCTGACGTTGCGAGGATAGGATAAGGTAAGACCGCCAAGAATGATAGGGGGACATTCCCTACACATCCAGGGCTCTGCAACCGAGGAGGCAATCCCCTGACGTTGCGAGGATAGGATAAGACCGCCAAGAATGATAGGGGGACAACCCCTACACATTCAGGGCTCAGCAACCGAGGAGGCAATCCCCTGACATTGCGAGGATAGGATAAGGTAAGACCGCCAAGAATGATAGGGGGACAACCCCTACACATCCAGGGCTCTGCAACCGAGGAGGCAATCCCCTGACGTTGCGAGGATAGGATAAGGTAAGACCGCCAAGAATGATAGGGGGACAACCCCTACACATCCAGGGCTCTGCAACCGAGGAGGCAATCCCCTGACGTTGCGAGGATAGGATAAGGTAAGACCGCCAAGAATGATAGGGGGACAACCCCTACACATCCAGGGCTCTGCAACCGAGGAGGCAATCCCCTGACATTGCGAGGATAGGTAACCCTACACTCCCAGGGACAACCTGGAAGATGCAAGGGGGACTGTAGGAAAACAAGGGCCAACCAAGTTATTCCTACGAAAGGAGAGAGGAGGTAGGTTAGGAGAGAAAAGAGAAGGAGGAAGGTAAAACCAAAAAATAACACATTGGTCTGGTTTCAAACTGTCAGACAGAGAGATACCAGGAGCCTATGTGAGAAGGTAGTGACTCGGGAGAGAGTGCCTGCCCTAGGAACCAGGCCAGTATTTAAACTAATAACCAGCCCTCAGACCTGTTTTCAGGTTGGTGAGAGGCAACACTAGTAACAATTATTTTAATTAGGCCCTGATATCTCTAAGTCCAAACTCCTTTTATTTTTATTTAATTATAGTACATGAATACTTATTTTAAAAATATTACAAACATTAGTTATTTACAAAATCAGTAATTACAAAAAGAAATAATAAATAGCTTCTAAATGAAATTCATAGTTCACTAGGAAATTAACAGGTTGCGCTACTAAAATTATTAATCATTATTAGAAAAAACAATGACTTGCATAAATGAATTAAATAGTTCATTAGAACAACGCCTAGAGGGCGCCACGCGCAACCTCCAAAACACTATACCACTAATCATTTACAATTCAACCTTTGACAGAGAAGGACCTCCCGTCCGTTAGCTCTAATACATCGTACCTTTCAATCTTTATCGCTAGTTAAATGTTATTATTGTTTTTTACAATTTTAAATTAAATCACAACTAAAATTAATAAAATATCTAGAAATAAATTAAATTAATAAATATATTACATATAAATGCTTCTTTTCACATAGTTCAAAAAAATAAAAGAACAAAACATGAACATGAGTTCTATTAACAATTACATTTTATAAAGGCCCTAATAAAATATGTTACAATATATATATATATATATATAGACATATATAAACAAAAATAGAAACAGAGGTGAATATAGCACGTAAGTTAAAAGTTAACTGATTATGAGAAAAAAGATAAGACATGAGTGGATAACAAACTGGTAAAGATATTAGTCCATGGTACAGAGCCCATTTTATCGAATTATTAACATCCACCTGAAACTTCGTAAATAGTTTCATCTCATCTTAACCTACAACTATTTTATTTACGAAGACTCTTGGAATTGGGGTCTTTTCAATCTGAAGAGAGGCAAACTTTGTCTATTTGATTACGTAATAAAAAATCGTTAATTACCATTTGCTTTATACTTAGATCGCAAGATGATTTGATCACAAAATCGATAAAAAAAGGTGGCCTACAAAAATATTGGGCCGTTTGTCCTATATAATCTCGTTATTTTGAAATTTTGGTGGTGTAGGTCACGCCAAACGACTTAATATTTTAAAGGTCACCTTTTTTCTTGATTTTGTGATCAAATTATCTTATGGTACAAGTAGAAAGCAAGTGGGTATTTACGAGTCTTAAGTGTGTAATTAAATAGACAAAGTTTGTTCCCTTCCAGATTGGAAATGCTCCCATTCCAAGAGTTTTCGAAAATAATATAGTTGTAGGTTACGGTGAGATGAAACTATTTACGAAGTTTCAGGCGGATGTTAATAATTCGATTTAAAGGGGTCTGTACTACGGACTATATGAATTATCATACAAATTTGAAATGTAAATATAGAAATAAATGACTGGGTATTTTAGTGTTTTAAAAGAGTAGGTGAGGAAATATTGAACGATAACATCGATACATATAGTAACGATAGTCATCGAATCTATTAAACCAGCAATAAAAATTTATTTTGGACTTTAATATTTTTATTCATTAAAAAGAGAGAAACGGGATAAACATTGAATTGAAGTGTTATTTTACTAACATCTTTAATAACAATAATTGAATATTTATAGTCGGCTTAAGAAAAAAGAAAGAAATAAAATATGAATAATAACATTAATAAATTGGTGCTTTTAATTGACAAATTTCATTATTAAACTTTTTGCAGAGGTATTAAAAATTAAATAACTACAAATAATCAAAGTAATATTTCTGAGCCATTATATTTTAAAATAATCTCAGTTTTATGTACTTGCCAGTGAGGCAGCTATATTTATTTTTATTAAATATCTGTTTTATATAGTCCAATTTTGATATCTATATAAAAAGATCGGACAAAAATATTTATATCAATAAATTAAATATCGATGTTTTTTTCAACACACTTACTAAAAGTAACCAATTTCTTTTATCCAAAGTGGAAATATCGAGGTTTATTCCGTAGGTGCGTCACGGAAGAGATTGGTATAAGAGATTGCTATCAGAGATGCCTACGTCATACGAAAGGTCGCCTATATACAATCTTCTGCAATTTTCCCTTCAAGCCATTTAGTTGCCTAGAAAACAATAAATATTAGTGAAATATCTTTTGCCTTTGCATAAAAATAACATTTTCGTTTTTTTAAATAATATGAATTAATTTCAAGTAAAAATTATAAAAATAAAGAAAGCTAACTTACACCTCATTAATGAAAGTTACCTATTCAACGGTTCGTTTAGCATATAACAACACATCTAGATTTTTTGTAGCAGTCATTATTATATTTTTATAGAGTTGATCATCCATTTTAATGAAAATAAATATTAACTATGACTTCGAGTCTTTCCAAGGAGACACTTTCTTTTCCGTGTTCAAAATTACATCTCTCTCCTCTATTTAATCTTCTCCGTGTGAAGTTGGCCTAAATTCCTGAAATATTAAAATTCTTAACTGAATAGGAGAATTATTTAATTAAGTATTTCATATGTTTTTTTTTTGTTTTTTTTTTGTGTTGTATAAAGTAAACATGCAAATAGAGATACGATCTCTCTAAACCACTATGACACTTTAGCGGCATTCCAGGACGGAATGTGGTGTGGGTTGGGTTCCATTAGCGCCAGTGGACTCCTGGTATGCATGCATATTTATAATTTGTTTTTTATACTTTTATATTTATTCAGATGTTTCTTCTTGCTGTTTTTCTCTATCTTTTATTTTTTATCTCACTATAATTAATAGTAGCCATACAGAAGAATTATTTTATAGTTGAAAGTTGAGAATGTTTGTCTCGTAAATATTGTCGGAAAGTTCTTGTTTAATTTCTGTTTTATCTTTGTTTAGTGGAATTCTTGGCTAGTGGATTGTTTTGTGAGAGAAAAATTGATAAGGATACTGTAGTAGTATGGATTATAATACATTATGTTGTAATTAAGTACAACTATATTAAAAAATGTTCCAATCAAGAAAATTAATAACAACGGTAAAATATATTTTATTTTCGTCGTATTTATAGAAAATAGTGCAATATACAAATTAAGTTTGAAACAAGCTATCGACAAAATGTTTAATATAACATCAGATAAGTCCAAAACTATAGCTTGCTCACTCATCACAGCTTCTCACTAATTAGGGAGTGTAGCTAATTAGGAAAGCAAAGTTGGTTTATTTCGTAGCGTGTTATTAAGGAGGGGGAACCGTTGGAATTAAACTCTGCAGAAACACTTATAAATAAATAAACCAAAGACTTCATTTCAATTATGACATAAAATACATGAAGTATTCTCATTCAAGTATTTTACCTGCTAAGAGGAAGTCAAAATTGAATTCAAACAAAAAAACAATGGAAAATATATCTACCACGCAATATTTTTACGAAAAGCAAAAAGAGCCTCAATACCGCCTTGGTAACTAACCGACTAAAATTTCATATTAATAATAATGGAATAATCCTATCTTCTAAAAAATAATATTCGATAAAAAAATATCTGAACCGTCCCGAAATTATTTACACATTTGTTTTAGATATATTTATAACTTTTTGTATCAGAAATATTTCAAATTAAAAGTAATGCATATTTTGTATTATTATTGATTATATTTTAGGTGAAGGAACGTTTATTAATTAAACTTACATTTTGTCGACACCATGTTAAAGTAACAAATGTGCAATGTTGGGCAGGTTAAAATGTTTAGCTACGATTTATTTGTATTTTAAGAATTTAGATTATTCATTAATTAAAAGATTTATTTATTATTTTCATAAGTTTAATCATTGATTTACAGTATTTTTTAAATCATATAATGAGATATTGGATGACTAACAAATAGTGAGAATAAATAATAGTGTGGAAGTGCCGGATAATGATCTGAGACAGTCGAAACGTAGCAAATAAAGAAAATAAATTGTGAATATTCATTCATAGTTTTGTAAACTTAATTAATGTGGTTTCATTCCATATTCCATCCTCATCTACCTTACGATTATCTTTTGACAATTAAAACTTATCTATTGATTACTATTTACCTGCCTGTCTATGGATATGATTAACCCTTAAGAGAATGATGGTATTTAAACTTTATTTGAACCCTTTGGCAGATGAAGAAGCTGCAACAAATAATTTATATAAAATAATTAATAGCTGAATTTTTAATCGGAATTCTGGACTATAGGATAGTTTAACACATAAGAATAAACAACAAAATATTATATTTAAATTTAAAACATTTAGCAAAATTGTACCTGAAATAGTACCTTTTCTAATTTATATAAACAAATGTGAACAACATAAAATGGGCCATTTACAAATTGTATCATTTAAAAAACTAGTATTCTTTACTATAAGCTTTAATCACTTGAACAATTAATTATTATAAGTTTAATCAAAATATTGGCCAATGATTATTTAATTTTTAATAAACCTATTCGAGCTCAAATTTATTTTACTATTCAGTTTCTGTAGAATTTATATAAAAAACCTGTGTTACTTGTTGGTGTGGACTGATGTTTATTGAGAATTCGTGTACTGGCGAGGTAAATGCTGACGGTTAGATTCGGTCTTTTAGATAGAGTGATTTGTTTTCTATTCCCATTTGTTTGGTCTTCTCTTATTTGAGGTACTGCACTCTATAGAGGTACTTGAGAAGCTGACTTCTATGAATAACATCGAATC